TCCTCCAAACTACAGTCCCCAGGATTCTTTGGGGAAACTGAATGATCATTAAACCCATTTAAATCTGTGATGAAGATGGCAACGTGCCTTGTGTTGGATCAGACCTGTAGTCCATCTAGGTCAACGTTGTCTGAGTGGCAGCAGCTTTCCAGGGTCTCAGGAGAGACCTCTTTAATACCTTTCTGGAGATGGCGAGTATTGAACCTGGGACCTTCTGCAGGCAAAATATGAAGCTGCTTCGTACCAAGTCAGGCCAAGATCACTAAGAAGAGAAGGGCCTTGTGGTGTCAAACTAGAGGTCCATCTAGTCCAGCATCCTGTTTCACACAGTTGTCCTGGAGAGCCAGAAACTGAGCATAGAGGTCAAGGCCTTCCCTTGATGTTGCCTCCTGGCTCTGGGATTCAGAGGTTCGTTGCGTCTGGGTATGGAGGCTCCCTGTATTCAGCATGGCCAACAGTGGGTACCAGCTTCAGTTTATTCATCAGTTGATGCTCTGTCTTCCTTTAATCCGTGTAACCCCTTTTTAAAGCCATCTGTGCTCGTGGCCATCACATGTCCACTGGCCGTGAATTCCACAATTCAATTATTCACTGGCATGACGGAGTGAGCTCCCGTCTCTAGTTCCAGCTCCTGCCAACCTAGCAGTTCGAAAGAAAGAAATTGCAAGTAGATAAATAGGTACCACTTCGGTGGGAAGGTAACAGCGTTCCGCCTTGGTGTTTAGTCATGCCGGCCACATGACCACGGAAACGTCTTCGGACAGCGCTGGCTCTTCGGCTTTGAAACGGAGAGGAGCACCGCAACCCTAGAGTCGGACTCGACTGGCTTTCGAGCAAGGGAACCTTTACCTTTACTTAAAGCAGTGTTTCCTTTTGCCTGTCCTGAATCCACTGCCTACCAACTTCATCAGGGGCCCCCTCAATTCTCGTATTATGAGAGAGGAAGGAAAAGCTGTCTGTACAGAGAACAGTAGAAGCTTTGGGTACTCCATAAAGTTACTCCATAAAGAGTCAGTTTGGTGTAGTGGCTGAGAGCGCGGACTCTAATCTGGGAGAACCGGGTTTGAATACCTACGTCTCCATATGCAGCCAGCTGGTGTGATGTTGGGTGAGTCACAAGTTCTCTCAGAGCTATTCTCTCAGGAGTAGTCCCTGAGAGAGCTCTCTCAGCCCCACCTACCTCACAGGGTGTCTGTTGCGGGGAGGGGAAGGGAAAGGAGATTGTAAGTTGCTCTGAGGGAAGGGTGGGATATCAATCCAATTTTCTCTTCCTTCTCGTCTCCTCCTCCTTCTCTGCCGTATAAATAAAATAAATAAATACATGAAGAGGGCAACCGGAGCACAGCCCCAAGCCTAGATCATGCACAATCCTGGCTTAACGCTGGCTGGGCGGGTCGTGTGAATGCCCTGAGTCAGTTTGCACGTGTGGAGCCAGAGTGAGGATGAAGGATCCACAAGCCCTTACATCGTGAGCTGCATAAAAACTAAAGAGCAGTGGAAGCTACAGTATCTCTGCAGTCCGTGAGGCATGTTGACCCCGTCCCACGTTTCCGTTCGGTCCTCATTGCCCAAGGAACAGTATTTTTAGATCTCTTGTAAAAATGTGCTTCCTTCTCTTAGGATTGTGGGCTCTTGTTTGGGTTTGATAATTAAGACAAAAAGCCCCAGACACGAAGAAGAGTCAGCTTTGAGGCATCCGTCTGATAAAATTTTATTTTGTTTTGTTTATTTATATCCTACCGTACTCCGCAATGGGGGCACCAAATGCAGCTTGCATCATTCTCTTGTCCTCTGTTTTGTCATCACAACAATTCTGTGAGGTAGGATAGGCTGAGGGGGTATGACTGGCTCAAGGTCACCCAGCGAGCTTCCGGGGCAGAGCCAGTTTGGTGTAGTGGTTAAGAGTGTGGACTCTAATCTGGGAGAACCGGGTTTGATTCCCCACTCCTCCACTTGCACCTGCTGATGTGACCTTGGGTCAGTCACAAGCTCTGGCACAGCTGTTCTTGAAAAGGAGCAGTTTCTGTCAAGAGCTCTCTCAGCCCCACCCACCTCACAGGGTGTCTGTTGTGGGGAGGGGAAGGGAAGGGGATAGTAAGCTACTCTGAATCCTTCAGGTAGTGAAGGGTGGGGTATGTATCCAATCTCCACCTCCCCTTAGTGTAGTGGTTAAGTGCGCGGACTCTAATCTGGGAGAACCGGGTTTGATTCCCCACTCCTCCACTTGCACCTGCTGATGTGACCTTGGGTCAGTCACAAGCTCTGGCACAGCTGTTCTTGAAAAGGAGCAGTTTCTGTCAAGAGCTCTCTCAGCCCCACCCACCTCACAGGGTGTCTGTTGTGGGGAGGGGAAGGGAAAGGAGTTTGTAAGCCGCTCTGAGACTCCTTCGGGTAGTGAAGGGCGGGGTATAAATCCAATCTCTTCTCTTCTTCTCTTCTCTCTTCCTCCTCCTCCTCTTCTTCCTTCTTCTGGATTCAAAGTTGGATTTCCCAGGTCCTAGTCCAGCACTTTAATCCCTACACCACGCTGGCTTCCATGCTGATAAAATCACTAGAGCTGTGCAAAGTTGGAAGGTCTGTGCATTTAATTTTTTTCCCTGTGCAGAAATTTTTGTTTCAGAATTGGTTCTAAAAATTGGGAGAGTTACTAGAGGGGGAACAGCCGAGGGAAATTGGCTGGAAGAAGCAAGGTTCCTGTGTTCTATGCGATGAAAACTCACACGTTTTCCCTTGGCACAGGCAGAAAGGTGGACATCAAAGTATACTGCTAAAATATTAGACGCTGTTTGCACAAGCCTAGTATTAAGAGCTAGATTTGCTCAGAAAAAAACAGTGAACAGCATTGTGGGAAAGTTAGTACCTTGTTCACGAGGCCACCAACTTCTACATGAAGGAATTAAGAAGTGGGGTATTAACTGGGAGCAGTCAGTGATAGAGCAGAGGTACCCACCATCTCATCTATTTCTTGTTCCAGCTACATCTGTCTCGTTCCATCGACACTGGCTCCCAGTTTGCTTCCGGGCTGAATTCAATGTGCTGGGATTGACCTTGAAAGCCCTGTACAGCTTGGGGCCGGTATACCTTAAGGACCACCTACCCATCCACTTTGGTGTTGTGGTTAGGAGCGCAGACTCTAATCTGGGAGAATCGAGTTTGATTCCCCACTCCTCCACATGCAGCTGCTGGTGTGACCCTGGGTCAGTCACAAGCTCTCTCAGAGCTGTTCTCTCAAGGGCAGTTCTGGAAAGAGCTCTCTCAGCCCCACCTACCTCACAGGGTGTCTGTTGTGGGGAGGAGAAGGGATTGTAAGCTGCTCTGAGACTCCTTCAGGTAGTGAAGGATGGGGTATACATCCAGTCTCCTCACCATCATCTTTGGAGGCACTGCTTCAGGTGCCCCTGCCATCTTAGACTAGACTGGAGGGGCAGCCTGCCTGAGGAAGGGTCTCCTTGGGCGTGGCCCCAAAACCTTGGCACTTCCTCCCCAGGGAGATTCATTATCTCTCTTTATTGTTGTTTTCCACTAGTGGGTGAAGACTTTTTTTTTTTAGTTTGGCATACCTCCAGTAACTGTTATTGGTGCTCCTCCCTGGTTTTGGTGTTGTGTATGTATGTTTGTATGTTTTCCTTAAACTATTTTATGTATTTTGTCAAAGGCTTTCACAGCCAGAGTTCATTAGCTGTTGCAGATTTTCTGGGTTGTCTGGCCATGGTCTTGGCATTGTAGGACCTGACGTTTTGCCAGTAGCTGTGACTGGCATCCTCTGAGGTATAACACAGAAAGACGGAGCACTCTCTGTGTCAAGGTGAAAAGAAGAATGGAAGGCAGGTAATTTATATCTACTCAGATACTACCCCTACCCCCACCTTCCTGAGTAGATATAAATTACCTGCCTTCCATTCTTCTTTTCACCTTGACACAGAGAGTGCTCCGTCTTTCCTTGTTATACCTCTGAGGATGCCAGTCACAGCTACTGGCGAAACGTCAGGTCCCACAATGCCAAGGGCACGGCCAGACAACCCGGAAAATCTACAGCAGCTATTTTATGTATTGTCTTAAATGCTGTTTTGGTATTTTAATGTTTTGATGTTCGCCGCATTGGGGGCCCTATTTGAGTGGAAAACCAGCAGAGAAATGTTTAAAATAAATGAAATATTTACAGTACGTGCAGCAGCAAAGCACACGAATGGATAAGGCCAAGTTTCCTATTCTCATTCTGCACACTCAAGGTTCCGTACCAAATTTGCAGTCTTGGAATAATGGAGTAGAGATGTCCCTGTCTGTAATCTCTGTTTCAGTGGTATGTTTGACGCAGATAAAGACAGTTCTGCTTTGGGAAGTTATCCCTTTAGTGTGCTGATAGGCTTTTGTTTTGGGTATTTTAGTGTGTCTGTGTTTTTTATGATGCTGTATATGAGAAAGGTGGCTTTTAAAAATCTTGTAAATCATGTGTTGGATCAGTCTCTCTCTCCACCCCCACCCCCCTTGTATAAACCAGGCATTACAGCTAAAATACTCATAGAGATTTACTTTTAAAGTGGAGCTGCCCCTTTCACTGCAGCAAAGTTGATTCATGGAAGTCAAATTGCAGCATAGACTTTTATTTAAAACAAGCCTCCTGTCCCACACTCTTCATATACACGTCCCTGAGCCACCCATCAATAAAACCGTCCGTGAACGCATCGAAAAAATTTGCGAGTTTTATCATAAAGCCGGCAGCAACAAAAGAGAAGGAGGCGGCAGATAAGAATTGAACTTGGACAAAGGAACTAAAGAAGTTGGGGAAGGGGGAGAGCGGAATCGACAGTCTGAGAGAATAAAAATATTTTCATTGATAGGGAGCTGAGCTCGGTTGGGATTATTGAGGTTGGATGGGATTATTGAGGTTGGATGGGATTATTGAGGTTGGATGGGATTATTGAGGTCGCAGACTCACATTCTCTCTCTCTCTCTCTCTCTCTCTCTCTCTCTCTCTCTCTCTCTCTCTCTCTCTCTCTCAGGTGGACGCATCTGTTCCTTTTCCCCTTGCATCGAGCAAGTTCAAAGGACCTGCCTGGCTCTGGAAGAACATGACTTTACTGAAATTAATACTTTGGAGATCCTGCTCAGAGTGTACAGCGTCAGGACAATTAGCTTGCAAATCCCTGACCTTGGTCAGGCAGCCGGGGATGATGCCAGCGCAGACTGGGACGGAGGCGACCGGTCGAACCCAGATGCCTCTCGCGCTAATCTCCAGCAGGGAACCGTGCCGTTTAAAAGCGCTGTCCCTCCCCGTGAAATGGTGGCTCACACGGGATATTTAACCTTTGCTACCAAAAGCCTATTTTAGTTACAGACGTAAAAAAACCCGGGCCTCCGCATCCCTCCCTCCCTTCTCCACACCCGCCCCCCCCCCTTCCATCCAGCATCCAGTCTTTCTCAGTCGGCAGGCAATTCCATATATAGTCAGACTGAGTAAAGATTATGCTTTGTTTAAATAGCACACACGGGAGCACTAACCAGATCGGCCTTGGCAAGAGACTTTGGAGCTGGCTGCGAGCGAGGAAGATGGATTACCAGCTAATAGCAGTGGGGTGGGATTTAAGATGTAGAGGCCACTGGGCGAGGTGGTCTTTTTTAAATGGAACGCCAGTGGGTTTCCGTAGTTTTCTGGAATCCTGTTTTGTTGCTTCCCCTCTGAGGGGGTGTGCCGTGCGTCCAGAGGGCTGTGTCTGTGTGCCTTTTAATCCAGCGCTGATTTAAGATGTGCCTTTCCAGTGTTGGAAGGAGGCCTGAGGAGGGACCCTTGTTATAACGGACAAGGTTTGAGTCCAGCGGCACCTTAAAAGACCACCACGACTTCCAGGGTAGAAGCTTTCAAGAGGGGAAGCTCCCTTCGTCAGACACGAGTAGGAAGGGAGTTCCCCGAGTCCTTTTATCCTAGTCAGAAGATGGGAGGGGTGTTTTGTGAAAGATGCCGAAGTACAATGAATACTATAATCAGCTTAGAGTAGAGGGAGCTTTGACTCGTGGAGGTCTACACACACTGGAAATCTTGTTGACTCTCTATCTCCCGCTCCCTCTCTCCTTGGACATCTCGGAAGCCTGCACCCTGGAGCTCTTGTTACGGTGCCATTGGAATCAAGTCTTGCTCTTCTGCTGGAGGCAGAAACAGTTGTCGTAAACAAAAAGAAGACCTCACAGCAAAGAGTAACATCATGTGGCAAAAGGCTGTGAATAGCAGATGCTTAAGACGACAATTGTCTATATCTACTAAATTAGATGCACTTCTATGCAGGAATATACAGTACAGTAATCTTCAGCACAAAATGCAAATCAAACAATAGAGTTCAAAATGTGATGCCAATACCTATTAGCATTTCTTTCACTAGAACTTTGGAAATTGAAAGTATAAAATTGTCTGCAGCTATAAATGACAGAAAATGCTAATGGGTATTTATTTTGGCTTCTTAGTATAGATTCATACTCATTTGTATTTTGCAGTCCGGTTTTATTACATTATCCAATATTGTATCATATTAATGGTACTTTTCTTGTTAGCATATATGCATCTCTGAAGAAGACAGTTGAAACGAAGCTCATATCCGGAATCTTCGTTGAACTTTATTGCAGATTTGAACTTTTTTGTTTGATTTGTGCTGAAGATTACTGTACTGTATATCCTTGCGTATATCCATTATAAGTGCATCTAATTTAGCATATACAGACAATTGTCGTCTTAAGTGTCTGCTATTCACAACCTTTTGCCACAGTTGTGACCAACACAGTTACCCATCTTACACTGTTGTTATAGACTCGGACCTGTTTCTCATGAAGGAATTGCTCTGACTCCCAAGGAGGCTTGCTTGGCGGAGCAATGACTTTTAGGAAAGTTCTTGAGCGTCCAAGCTGGCGCTGTTTTTATTTCGCTTGGTCGAGTCAGATTCCCAAGCAGCTTTGGGTTTTTTTCAATGTTATATATAATGTGATAAGTGGCAGGCCGGAACCGGCCATGTTCACGCCGTCTATCACATGCCAAGTTAGTACTTGGATGGGAGACCACCAAGCATGTCCAGGGTTGCTATGCAGAGGCAGGAAAGAGCTGAGCGGTTGTTTAACAAATTGTGGCTAATCAATGAAATATTTCTCTCAAAGAGATGCGTTGCTTAATAGCGGGATGTGCCAGATCGCGAACACGTTCATGTGTCATTCAAATAATGGGAGATTTCTAAACTCCCTCCCCCCCCCAGTGGGATTTAGAATTCATTTTATTGCCTTCCTGCACGCCCAGAGTTTCTTGTACATGCAGCTTTCCTCACTTGTTTAATTGGAGAGACCTGATCCTTGCTTATTAACCCTTTTTTGTGTTTGCATATTGGGTCCCTCCATTGGAATGAATGGAGGAACGCTTACAGGGGGAAGGAATAATAGGCCCAGACTGGGTCCCTGCATCTGTAAGCACTCGCCGTATTAAGTAATTTATCCGCAGCTCTCAGAGGAATCCTGTTCACTTCATTTATCCTCAGAGGCAAGTGGTTTTGAGCGCTGTGACCTTAGGTTGCAATTCTCCAGCTGCGCAGTCCTGCGTGTTCTCATTCCTTGCAGTCATTCCAAAATAAATTGAAGTGAAGATTAGAATGTATTGCCCTGTGTCTTCACATATTTTGAGCAGCCAAACTGAAGTCAGTGGAGTGACGTTTTGAGTAAGGCGTTTGAGGACCACAGCTTCAGACACGATGCAGTTCAAGGATAGAAGAACAGCAGCTGGGATTTTCTCGATTTTTTAGGGGAAATCAGCAAACCAACTCAAACAGTTGACGGACAGTTTCATTTGAGGCTTTAAGTGCAAGACTGCGTGACCGAATGGACCTCTGATAATCATTTTCCTGTATCTGTAAAACTAGCAAGGTTGGGAGAAAGCTAAGCGAAAACTCCTCTGTCGAACATCTAGGTATCACAAATAAACTATGTTTGCATTAAACCGTAGTTTGGTGTGATGACTTCTAGTTAGTCTACAGCTGTAAGAAACATAAGAACATAAGAGAAGCCAATGTTGGATCAGGCCAATGGCCCATCCAGTTCAACACTCTGTATCACAGACTGGCCAAAAACACCAGGTGCCATCAGGAGGTCCAGCAGTGGGGCCAGGACACTAGGAGCCCTCCCACTGTTGCCCCCCCCCCAAAACACCAAGGATACAGAGCATCACCTGCCCAAGCCTGAGAGTTCCTATCTATATCTTGTGGCTAATAGCCGCTGATGGATCTCTGCTTCCAGATTGTCAGTTTCTTTCCTGTTCCTTCCAACACATCCTTCATATATGGCCGGGGCAAGGGGGCTGAGTAACCACAGCTAATCCAACGGCACTTAACAAACCGTGGTTTGAAATCTTGGTCTGGGGTCACTCAGCAAGCCCTACGGTGCAATCATAAACTGAAGTTAAACCCTTCTTGAAGTCAACAGACTTGAAAGGGTGTAACTAAATTTGCCCTGACCTGGATGGCCCAGGTGAGCCTGATCTTGTCACATCTCAGAAGCTAAGCAGGGTCAGCCCTAGTTAATACTTGGATGGGAGACCACCAAGGATGTCCAGGGTTGCTACGCAGAGGCAGGCAATGGCAAACTACTTCTGTTCATCTCTTGCCTTGAAAACCCTCTGGAGTCACCCTAAATTGGCTATGTGGCTATGACTTGACGACACTTCATACACACACAATCCTGTTAGAATTGCACTGCTGCTGGACCGTCTGAACATAAGAACATAAGAGATGCCAATGTTGGATCAGGCCAAAGGCCCATCCAGTCCAACACTCTGTATCCCACAGTGGCCAGAAATACCAGTGCCATCAGGAGGTCCACCAGTGGGGCCAGGACATTAGAAGCCCCCCCACTGTTGACCCCCCCCCCCAAGCACCAAGATGACAGAGCATCACTTGCCCCAGAGTCCCTATCTATACCTTGTGGCTAATAGCCACTGATGGACCTCTGCTCCATATGCTTATCTAATTCCCTTTTGAAGCCGTTCATGCTTGTAGCCACCACCACTTCCTGTGGCAGTGAATTCCAAGTGTTAATCACTCTTTGGGTGAAGAAGTACTTCCTTTTATCCGTTCTAACCCGACCGCTCAGCAATTTCATGGAGTGCCCACGGGTTCTTGTATTGTGAGAAAGGGAGAAAAGTACCTCTTTCTCTACCTGCTCTTTCCCATGCATAATCTTATAAACCTCAATCATGTCACCCCTCAGTCGTCTGTATTCAGACTTCACAACTAACTGGGCTTGAGCAAACCACAGTTTATCATGACATCTGAAAGCAGCCCTAGCATCTTTTGTGGAAGGAGTTTGGTTCCCCCCCCCCCGCATTACACGAAGGGTCATTCAATCCTACCACATACACACCCTTGTACAATGCCACAATTCCTCATCTGCCATTTGCACAAATAGGTAGGGCAGTCACACCTGTTTAGCTGTAAAGGGTTAGATTTGTCTCCTATTTCACCTCTTCTAAAGGGTCAGCTTTTGAACTGGCCCCGCCTGGCAGCTTACACAGGTGTGTAGGTTCCTTCAAGTCTCCACCGACTTAATAGAAACCTCCGTAAGGGATTTTCAAGGCAAGAAGCGTTCAAGGGTGGTTTGGCATTGCTTTCCTCTGCAGTCTTCCCTGGCATCTCCCCTCCAATTACCAGCCCAGCTTAGCTTCTGAGATTGGGCTACACTATGTTGCCTTCCCTCCCCCTGGTAGCTTAAACGGCAATAATTAAGCAGGCAATAGCTTTTAAACTCTGCGCCCAGAAATGCTTTACCTGCATAATAAACTTCTGTTAAAGGAACAAAAGAAGCCAGGCAGGTTCGCCCTCCCCCCCTCCCTGGCTAGTTGACAACGCGAAGTCCTTTCCAATAATAAAAAAAGCCTTCCTTGTTCTTTCCTGTACGTGAGACTGAACTTGCACTTTCAGATGTCAAATGCTGTAAATATTTCTAAAAAATTAATTCCGGTGTTTCTCCGCAGGGCACTCAGCTATCTTATCTTCCCTGGACTTGGATAAAACGCAGCCCACGAGAGATCCCTTTTATCCATTCCAGGGCACAGGTGCTTTGGATACATCTGCACGGAAACGCACACCCAATCTCGCCCTTTGCGTGACAGAAATAAACACAGCTAAGCTTTTAACGGGTTGCAGTCCAAGCGCTTCATCTATCAAAGTTTAACCAAAAAAAGAGAAAAGATGGGGAAGGCCGGCCAGCTGAGCAGATTAATAAGCAGGGGGACCAATTGGTCGAGCCGACGCTGTTGCATAAGGCATTTGGCAAGCGGCGGGTTTTCCTCCTCTTGGGAAGGACGTGAAAGTCCTTCTTTACCCACCGCTCAAAAGTACCCTTTAAGGGAAAGTCAGATGGAAGCCACTGCATTACAAATAGGGGAGATAAGAAGTGCTTGCCAGGGAGGGAGGAGAGAGCATGTGCATATGCAAATAAAAGATCTGCCGAATTAAATCTTGGCAGGAGAAGCCGGCTGCGACCTGTGAAGGGTGAGGAAATGCTGAGATAATGCCACCTGCCTGTCCTTAAGGCACCTTGCCCCAAATTTGAAACACTGGGATAAGTGCTAGGAGAGTTTGGCGCTTGGTGCAAA